AAAAAATATGTTTTTTCGAAGACACCCAGGACTTCTAAAGTCCATCCCCACCGTATTTTCCGGAGCCCAGCACACATACTATCTCTGGCATCCAAGGGACAACTTCCGCGCTCACGTAGGTGTTGAATATATGTGTCATTTATTATGACATGTATAACAAGGTAATTAGATTTCTTATAGATAGTTCGAAGATATCCTATGCAAAACAAAAAACAATGGATGTCCATTTTCAACAAAGTCGGTTATGCTCCCCTATGAAAGGATTTTGAGCCGCATATAATATTTATTGTGGAGGCCATAAGTACTCGTTATGATATACTATAAGCCATAGTGTACCCCCATCGTCTACCTGAAATTACCTTAACATAAATCATATTTATTTGTGTAAGCATTTAACTTTTTTGACAGAGTTGTTACAATGAAAATATGAGTATATTTTTACGTTTCTGGGTTGTATTCATTATGACCAAAGGTATACATATCCAATTTAAAAATTGTGTATGGAAGCATTTATATTCATATACATGTATAATATTTTGTGAAAAAGGGTATTTAAGTATCTATCAAAGATTTGTCATTAATTGTTGCTGGATCAGACGATTATAAGATGATTTCATCACCCTCACTTTGTTAGATGTTAGTATGCATCAACAAATACTTTTGAAACGACCTATGAGATCACCTAACCATGTATTCAAGGGTGTATGAAAATGTTAGTTAAGATAGGTATCACATAACATATCATTTGGTGAATCATAGTAATAGATATTTTAGAGTTAATTCATAACTGATGATGTATGATGTTCTTTGTATTATGATTGTCCATGCAAACATTTTCGAGAGTAGGAAGAAACTCCCAACAAGAAAAAAAATATTTTAGAAAATATAGAAAAGTAAATGTTACACATGTGACATATTGGACCTTCCTACATTATTAGAAACATATTAGTTAATGATGTATGCATAAAACGTATTAATCATTGCTTTCGGAACAATTTGGTGAGTACAAATCTTCTCAATATACGTCAAATATGTATAAAATTACTTATAAAACTTATTCCTTAATACATGTACATTAAATCAATTCAAAAGTATATAACTTAGTGAGATAGAGCAATAAATATCATCATTGGAGGTATATAACTTTTACGTAGGGGTCTCTTGACACCCAGGTATGATTTTGACTAGCTTAGATGGCTATGAGTTAAATTGATCATTGCAATTTCGTCGAATATTGGTTTCTATCAACCAATACTACCGAAACAATTATTTGAATCATTTTTTTTTATGTATTTAAGGGTGTATGAGAATATCACATAAGATAAATTTGATGTAACACAGGATGTTGTGGATCATAGTAAGAAATATTGATGAGTTAGTGGATAACTGATGAGATGTCTCGGTCCTTACATTCTTTATTGGCTTTGTGTTCCATAAAGCGTAACTCTCAGAGAATATACATACTAGTGACACACAATCATGTCTCTCCTCTTTTGACCTAAAAATATTTAAGACAAAGACATAAGTCTGCAAAATTATATACAATACCGATTCAAGTTTATGACATAACTATATAGGTACGTAAATTTCTTGTAGAAGAACATCAATTCACAACCAGAGCCCACATTATATACCATTTGTTGTAACCAAAAGAATTTGGAGACATTAACGTACACTAGTAAAAAGAAACATAATTTTTATAAATCGACAAAATAAATTCATGAACAACCAACAATGTGATAGAGATATCAACAAACACCTTCAGTACTTAAAAAAGTCACTTCACATAAATATATTGACACCAACGGTATTTGGAAAAAAAAATCGAACTCCACCCACCTTATATGAAAACCATTTTATGACAAAATTAAACCTAAATAAAATGAAAATAAAATTAATTCTACATACAATAATGTTACTTACACTTTAAAACACATAAAAATAACTTATATTTGAAATGATGGTGGATTACGATGTCAAAGTAAGCTCGAATGGCACCTAAGCTTGTACAAACCATATAGAGGCACATGACAAAGTTATTAGAGTATACCACGAAATTGAAAGCACAAAACTAAAATATCGATTTTACCAAATACAAAAACTTTAACTTAGTTTTTGAACTTCGTATGGGAGAGCTAATCTTCTTCGATATTTCGAGCAGACTGTACACTTTAGTTTTATCCTCTAAGTTTGTCTCTAATAAAAATAAAAATAAAAATTTTCAATGTATTAGCGGTTATGATTTCAAGGATGATGGTCGGAGGCTACAATTTGAAAGTGAGAGGAGAAAGATTTTTTAAGAAAAGAAGTGATTGAGATCGTGTGTAATTTTTTAGTTCGATTATTTTTATGTGTGTTATTTTTGTAATAGATTACATGATATAAATAATAAACCAAAGTACATTACTTTGCAATTAAATTTGTATAGCACAAAATTTTTAGAGTACGTAAGTAGAGAATGTAGGTTTATATAAACTCCGCGGGATTATATAATATATTTGCTACATAAACTCATTATTTCAGAGGCAAAATGAGTAGTAGGGAGCTATATGTAAATATTTTACAAAAAGTAGAGAGTGCAGTATTTAAAAAAGAATGTGTAGGGGCTGAACTTAAATTTATATTATCGGACATAGATTTAAATCAAAGTGCCATTTTTTATATACTATTATAAACTAAATAAAATTAGAGATAAAATAGAGTAATATATTTGAATTAAGGGGGCAAAACTTACATAATTAGATTAAAAAAATTATTTTTACTTTAAAAAGAAAAAATTGGGTTTGGGGCAGTTGTCCCCCTAGACCGTTAATGGTTCCGTCAGTTTATACAATAATCCATTAAAGTAAACATTAAATTATTGTATTATATATTATATAATCAATTATAATAATACATGTATTATAATTTTATCTTACAAAGTAAAGGGAGACTGTAGTATGTAAATAAATTTGATTTGGGCTGGGATTAGGTGCTGAATTATAAAATTCAGCATGATGCTGATTCAATATTAACCACTGGATTTTAATCCTAAGGCTTGTATTAATTTAAGGATTTAATAGTAATTTTCAAATTTCTTTAACTTTTATAACTCACTTAGACCTACATTCTCCTTCGCCTCTTCACTTAAAAAAATGCCTAAGGCTCTTCCAACAAAATTAATAGATGAAATTGATGGAGACGAGCAAAATCAATTATCCATTATTAAAAAACGATCCGCATCAAATACGATACTTCGATAGTTAGCATTTTATCTTCCATTATTCAGCATTTCATCTTCTATAAATTAGCATCTTGATACAATTTACACAACATCTTGTAAGCATCTCGTAAGTTGTTTTCATATATTGGACTGTAACAATACTACAACATTAGGTGTTTTTGTAGGATTTAATAATCACCGTCAAACATCTATATTTGGGGCAACATTGTTGTACGAAGAAACACAAGATTCATTAAAGTGGGTTTTCAATATTTTTTTAAGTGCATGGATGGTCGTGCACCAAAAACTATTTGTACGGATCAAGATTTGAATATGGCTTCAGCACTAAGGGAAACAATGCCAACAAGATATCAGTCTTTGTGCACATGATTTAATTGCAAAATATTATGGACATCGTATAATAAGCATTTACATATAGTAAACTAAGCATTTTATTGAATACCAATAAACATATTTGTTTATTATATTTAGCATATTACTGATTATTAAATATTATAAATGTATCCAGAAAATGCCACAAAAAATAAATTCTAAACATACTTTCTTAAACCTATTAACACAAATAGAAAAGGGATGAATAAACAATTAGATATTTTGAACTCAACATTTTATTTAATACGAGCAAGCATCTTCATGTATTGTATTTAGCATGTTATTGTACTATCAAACATTATGAGTATTATCCAGAAATTGCAAAAAAACACTCTAAACATGTTTTCATATACACTACGGATTTAAACTAATATCTAAACAAAAAAGAAGCATCAAAATACCAGATTAGAAAATTCCGAAATAAACTTCGGTTCACAGCGGGTCAATTGGGTGACGGTGGTGGTTCGTGGCGGGTCCTGGGTTGGCGGAAGAACGGTGGTTTTTGGCAGTGATTTGAACAATTGGTGGTCAACTGTTCGGAGGAAAAAGAAGAGAGGGAGGAAGAGATAGACATATACAAGAACAAGAGGAGAAAGAAGAAGAAGATGGCGGCGGCTGCTAGGACTGGGAGAGGCGCTGTCACGGCTGGGAGAAAGAGATACTTACGTACATATAAACCCACCTTTTAATTTATTTTTTTTTATTAACTTAAAAAAATAATCTATCCCTCTTCAATCTAAACCATCTAAATTGATTTATTGTGATGAACGGTCCATATTCTATTAGCATGATGTAATGGTGCAATGGTGCGGCCATCAGTACTGGATCCACCTCCATTTTATTTGTATATTGAAATGGTGTTCGTGTATTGTTATTTGCATTTTATTAAGGTGAGAGCAAATCACTCAAATAAACTCAACCGTGTGTTCCTTAGATTTTTTTACAGATTTTTACTATTTCTTTATTTTTTTAAAAAAAAATTAAATCAAAATTCAAATTATTAAAAAAAAAAAAATCAAAACCACAAACAAATGTGCAGATACCCTTGAGAATAAATAGGTTAATGTTGGTAGCTAGCTACCTAACCTAATTATTAATATAATATAATAATTATGTGAATCTGTGGATGGATAAAATATAAATATAAATGGTGTGTCTGAATGTGATGGATGGATCGATCGTACGTTGCTCGCTCGCTCGCTCACTCTCCTCTCATGCAAAAAGCAAAAGTGGACTGGTAAGTGGCAACCATATTAGTCTTCGGCACAACACAGCACCATCTGCTGCTTGCACATTCATATCCTAGCCTCTTAACATTGACATTTTTTAATTAATGTATGTTAATTCTCACCTCACCTCATTGGGAGGAAATTCCCCCCAACAAAATGGATAAAAGACACAAAGCTAAGAAGAATCAGAATGATCGATCTATTTTGCTAATTCAACAACAATAGTGATGACAAGAAAGTGCAAGCACTAACACATTATTCCCATACGAATTCTAGATATAACAAATTGAGAAGCTCAGGAAGAAAGTGGCATCACTCAATCAATCAATCCTTGAGAATGGGGAGAAGGCCGTCCCTCTTGGCCATTTCATAAAGGGCAATTGCTGCAAGAACTTTGGCATCAGCAGTCATTCGCCATAAAGTTTTGTAGGGAACGACGTGCACCTTGATCATTTCACCATGATCTCTAAGACCAGTTTCTTTCCCTTGTAGTTGTTCAATGATCTCTTTGTCCACTTTTCCTCTATATAAAAATAACCCAATATCTTCATCGCATCCCCCCTGCAAGGTCATCCATCATCTCATAGATGTCTTGCAGTACAATTATACTTGAACACATAAATATTAAATTTCATCAACAAAAGGAGAATAGTGTAGTAACGCACAGGAGAAGGGAAAACTTTCTGTCCTGTGGATGGAGCTAAGAATGCAGTGAGATCAACAACTGCATCTTGATTTAGGTGTAAGCCAGTCTCCTCCTCAACCTACAGGGAACAAAAGGTAACTGATCAAGCAAGTGACTTCGCAATGACTTGAAGCTAGTACAGTTAGCAAACACATAAAGGGTGATATATATATATATCTGTGGGGAGAGAGAGAGAGAGAGAGAGAGAGAGAGAGAGAGAGAGAGAGAGAGAGAGAGAGACCTCACGAATGGCTGTTCCAGCTATATCACCATTTTCATCATCCAACATCCCAGCTGGTAATTCCAATATTAGCTTTCCAACAGGAACCCGGACCTTCCATGTTCACGCGAATCACTTCAAACAGTAGGCGCTGGGCTTTTATGATGTTTGTACTACTTACATCAACTAATGACGGAGAATTACCTGTTCTGTCAGCACAGCATATGTCTCTCCTTCTGATTCTAATAGAATTAGAACTGCAACAGCTGGCCCTCTTGCAAAAACAATGCCTGGAACCTACACACAAGTTTTCTAACATAATGAAGTAGCAAGGAATGTTCCATGAAGATTACTCCGCTATTTGATATTTTACTACGTTTCTAACCAAGGTTGAGTATGTGCATTCTATTCCTGTAATCATAATCAAGTGAATGTGATTGAATACTAGTCGACTGTTATTCATAAACAATAAGTATTATTGACTACGCTCGGATGACAAAAAGTACCCACCATACCTTCTTCCCTGTTTCTTTATCAATTACATCTGCTTTAAACTTGAGAAATCCAACACGACTACCAAACATGTCGACGCCCTGTTCCAGCATTATATAAAAAAAAAAAACTAATTTGATTATTAGAAGCATTGACATTCCTGTGGATCAAAGTTCATCCAATAAGTTTGTTTTCCTGGCAATCACCAACCTGAATGAGCACTTGTCTCAAAACCATGGCTTCATTAGCCAGCATTCCAGTTTCTGTTTGTATGTTTTTCAGCCATTGTTTGAATAAAAAGGATTCAATGGCATTCCTGCAACACCATAGACTCACTGTAAAGAGAGATCCATAGATATGCATCAGTTCATGGTAAAAGCTAATCATATTCATCTAAGATGATCATCAAACTCTATACCATGTTCATCCAACATCCGCTTAACAAGCACCAAGAAAAAGCTTAATGTAAATTAAAGCAATAGTCACATATTGAAAAAAACTACCAGTTAAGAATGACTCCAAACACTTACCTGATAAGCAGTCATCAGGCACCTCAAGTACTGCAATTCTTCTATAAGTTTTTAGGTTTAAATCCAATGATGATTTCCAACAACTGCAATTCTATATGTTTTAATTTTTAATTACCAACGATAATTTCCTGAAGTGCTAACGCAAGAGATATGAAATGGCATCATTTGATCAATGATATATGGTCATATCCAACTTAATGAACTTCCAAGACTTCCAGAAACCAACACAAAAAAGAATATTCGATCGACAACTGACACTTGATAGATATGCATACGACTGAAAACAAAACTCCGACTATTAGACAACATTTTACAAGTTAATTTAGATTTCAACAGTTAAGTGATGTTCGTAACTTGCAACCTAAAACCGGTGGCGCTAAACATACACAGGAATTTCTGTAAATAGGCAATAAAAATGATCGATGCAAGCGACTAGTTGTCAAAAATCTAAACACAAACCGCGACAATAGACTTTAATATAACCAAAATACGATCAATTCCACTAGTACAAACTTTCAACCACACAATAAACGAAATCCAATAATGTGAAATAGATCATTCCTGAAGTCGGAGTCTGAGACCCCAGCAGCAGCGACGACGGTGACTGGGTGACCGAGCTGACCCGGAAGCGTTATTTCATGACTTAATTGGGTAGACGCCATTCTCGGACCGACAAATAAGCTTCGTCTGTTGTGATTAAGACGAGGAGAGGAGAAACTAGTGAAATCTGCAATGGGATTCTTTGAGATTCGTAGGCTGGGAATGCGCAGTAGCGCAGCGGGATGACACAAGAATGTCATTTTTGTCTTTGGGTGTGTTACTTTTGTGTTTTTATCTTTTTTTTTTAAATCTTCTTTTCTTTTCTTTTTTTTATTTTTATCCATGTATGAATATACGGGCTTGTTGGAGATTTGAGTACACTAATATTGTGTTTGTTGGAGGGATTTGTGAAGATTTGTATTATTTATTTTATTTTTTTCGCTCAAAAATATCATATCAAAACACCTATTTTTCATTTTTTATATTATTATAAAAATCAATTTTACATTCAAAACATCATATTAATACCTATTTATATCACATCATACAATTATTCAAATTCAAACACCTATCGTTACATTCAAAATATCACATCAACACCTATTTATATCACATCATACAACTATTCAAATTCAAAATTTTTACTATTTGAATCTCAATTCAAAATCCAAACCCCCAACCATTTGTTTGGGGATTGGATTTTCAATCTACTATTCATCCTTTTTTTTTTCCTTAAAAATATCAAATCAAACATCTATTTTTCATTTTTTATATTATACTAAAAATCAATTTTACATTCAAAACATCACATCATACAACTATTCAAATTCAAAATTTTACTATTCAAATTCCAACTCAAAATCCAAACCCCAGACAAACACACCCTAAGATCATATATTTACTAATTAAAAAATATTACTACATCCGGCTTTTAAGTACTCGTTTACGTTTTCCGAAAAATAAATGGGACTCGGTAATAATAAATTAAAGTTAGATTTTATTAAAAATTTGTTTTTTTAATTATATTTTATTAAAAATATATGTATATATATTACACATATTTATCATTTTTATATTTATATTTTATATATATAAAAGAAAAAGTAAAAATTCAAATCTAAACACAGACCAAACACACTCTAACCGTTTTTCATTTTATTTTATACGATCCAACTTGCACATTTTTATTTCAATAAAATTTACAAAATATGTTAAACAATTATAATTAAATCTAATTAAATTATTTATTATTAACATAAATAAAATTATTTTAAAAAAGAACTATTTTATAATAAAATACATATATTGGCAACAAGACTAAAACTATATTACAAAAGATAAAAATAGAGAGTAATCCGTGAAAAAACCATACTTAAATTGATTACTCATGGAATTTTTTTCGTGAATATTTTGTTAGTAAATACTCTATCCGTCTCAAACACCGTGCAACATTTATGTTTGGTACGAAAATTTAGATGGGTAGTATTAAGCATGGTAATTTGAGATAATTTGAATATTAAGTTATGTGATTAGAGAGAGAAATTATTATTTATTTTTTTATTTGAGTGATGTGATGTGATGGGATAGAGTGAAATATATATTAATATATGTATATAAATATTATTAATTATTTCTAAATATAGAAATGTTGCAGTGAGTTTGGGACAAACAAAAAATGAAATGTTGCAGGGTATTTGAGACGGAGGAAGTACCTTGTAAGTAATTATTCACGAAAAAAACTATGAATAATTCTGTAAATAAATTATTCACGACAATACTCTCAGAATTATGTATCATTACTCAACGTAATTACTTATGGACTTTGTCCGTAATTAAATTTACTCACAAAAACAAATTATATGAGTAATTCCCCAAGTAAAAATCAACAAACTCCCTTATTTACGACGGAATAGTTCCATGAGTAATTTCGTTAGTAATTTACTCACAAAATATGTTGCGATGTTTGAGACGAAATAATTTCCATAAATAACTTTTCCGTCCGCCCCAAAATATTTATATTTCGATTTATCTATACCTATTCCGACTCATATATTACACCAACAAAATTCAGACCATAAAGTAAATCGAACCAAGCCAAATATCCAATAAATAAAATACGATCGAATCACACAATATATATAAGCATAATTTCGTAATTGATTAATACCAAAAATAATAAGCATAACCGTACATTTGAAATAGTAAAATTCGTACGATATTAAAGTTCATACTTAGTACCAAAATCAATAAATAGGTGGCACGCCAGAATCGCCATTGGGGTCGTGGCGGTCCGGTTGGGCGTTAATCCTCTCAAGCTTCTCAAGCTGCTGCATGATTGTTAAGGCGTAATTTTCAAAACGATCAAGTTGTTCCTTCAAGCGCACTAGCCAAGCGTCAGTCGTTGGAGCACTAGGTGGGAACGCCCTTGGTAGCCTTCTTTTTTCTAGAACGTATTTCATACAACCAGTGGTTGTATATTTCATAGGTTTTTTTCTCGTAAGCACGACCCCATGCTATTCGGGTTTCCACTTAATGTGTTTCTGCAAAAAACTAAAATTAAAAACACTAAACAAACATACCCAAAATCACCTTTTAAGAATTACTTGTCTCCAAAGATGATGAGCATGCAAAGTAGCACACAAAACTCTTATAAAATGCACTAAGCAGCAAGTGGACATTACACAACCGAGAGGTGGTTAATTGAAAACCTGGATACATATTTTTCCGAAACTATCTGCCCAGTTCTTCGGCCTGTCAAAAAGATTGATGAGCATCATGCAAAGCTTAAGGTTCGAATGATAAACTCTCAGATCTTATAAAAATAAACTAACTAATTATTTTCATATTTAAGACCAACATTGATTGAATGTGTGATACAAATATCTTGTCACCTGGCAGCATAAGTGAGAACTTCAGTATATTTCATAACCATAAGGGCTTTAGTGGGTCTTTCTTCTTCTTATCACTTTAATCTTCATAACCTTGACCCACTTTAACGGCTTCAGTTGGTCTTTTCTTTATATGCCGGAAAAGTGCCCAGAGTATACACAAAAAATTCGGCGATGAAATAATTATCATCAGAACAATCTACAAGAAATTCTCTAAAAGAGCACTAGGTTTTTAGTTCAATGTTAAACAAAAAACACAATAACAATAGTAACTAAAGTATAGGGAACAAATAAATAGTCATTCATGTATACTTTTAAGTAGTGCTAACAACAAATAATTACATATATACATATATATTTTTTGCCAATTAGGCTTGTCAAACCATAAATGAGAATGTGACACAATAGTTAACAATTTGGGCAAAATTTCTCAAGATAGTTCCAATTTATATTAATAAAGCACTATAAGAAAATGAGAAACTTGACACATTCTGCATTTAAGGAAATGTCAGCATATTTTTTTTGATCAAATGAACTTTGAAAAGTTTAAATAAACTTATTCTTGAACTTGACCTCCTCAAGCACGACCTTCGCTTGACGAAGCTTTTTTTCATTTTCAATGTCTTCAGCTTCAGTATCACTTTCTCGATTAGGCCTGAGTTATAAATTTAGTATCAATATAGAGTAATAGAAGTGAAACATTCAATTGAAAGATTAAAATATTGTGCACTATGTATCCTTATAACCACCTAATAAAAGCACGGAGTAAGAACGATTCCCTAATAAATATAGTTAAGATAATATAATCTTGAGGCATAATGATAATTGACTAATTTATACATAGATGAATTAATTAGCATCAAGAATTAGAACATTCTTCCCCCACCTAGTTTTAGGAAGTAAAATTCGTGTTGCATCCAAAAGATCTTGCAACTGAATCGCACTTTTAAGTTTTGTCAGCAGGTGCACGTAAACAGTCTAAAACACATTGCTTGTACAAGCCAATTCTGAAATAGTCACAAAAATGAATTATTATATGATTAAGATTTACCTCTATTCTGGACTGTCCACCATTGTATTTTAGTATTAAATTTTCGAAAGTTTTTCCTTAGTAACTTTCAATTTGACTCTCTACTTTTGATTTTTGTCACCACTATAAAGTAACATGCAAATATATATGTGGCTTTTAAAGGATGTCTCAAAAGCTGCAATAAAAATGGAGAACAGAGAACAACTGACTTGTCTTACTAACGAATAACAGAGATCACACAGCGCAGCTCTTCAGCTTGCCCAAATGCTCCAATAATCCCATTGCCTTGACAAGTTAGTCCTTCTGATGGTTGAACTGGTTCACTGACCTTCCATGGTAGAGTTGGAGGGATTGTCGAAGAAAGTTGTGGAGCTTTTGCATCGAGGAACATCTGCCTCAACACACAAGCAATGTCATCATAATATCTGCATTTGATAAAAAAAAAAAAAAAAAAACATTTAAAATATCTGCCTCAAAGTTCATCCCAAAGTTTCAAGGCGTTCGTCGCATTCTTCATCAAATCATCAAACCCGGACTCCTTTGATCAAAAAATCAAAGGGATACGCCGCCAAAAGCGTTATGGGGCACCAAATCCTCATCGGAAACGAACAAGCCCAGATTCATCCAAAGTCAAAACTGATGATCAAAATCGCCCGTATCCAAAGTCAAAACTGATGATCAAAATCGCCCGTGCAGAGACCAAAGTCCTCCAAAGTCCGGCAAAACCAAACTGGAGAACCAAATCCACCTCCTCAAAGATCAAGGCTCCAAATCCATCAAAATTAGTCTTCAAAGCCCTCCAAAGTCCGACAAAGCCAAACTGAAGACCAAATTCTTTTGGATCAAAGATGCCATCCAAATCTAATTTGAAATATAGATCGACTCGGAAAGAGAATCAAATGACTCAAATGGAGAATAATAATAATAATAATAATAATAATAATAATAATAATAATAAACAACAACAACAACAATAACATCATCATCATCATCATCATTCAAAATACATTTTTCTTTCCGATAAGCATATTACCGGAGAAAAATTCAAAATTTAAAAAATTCATATAAATTATATTTCAAAATAATAAAAAAATAATTATCGAAATACTCGATAATTTACATTGAGTCGAGGATAAAACCTCAACCTATAAAATGAATACATTATGATAATAACTATAGTTTATGGCGGAACGATAAAAAATATTCATTTCCATATTATGTGACACTCTAATATTTCAAAACTCGGACGAACTAAACTTAGAAAAAAATAGTTGTGTCGGAAGGCTTGAACACGAAGGAATGTTACCTTGTTATCATCGAAATATTCACTAGAAAAAAAACTATTGGAAAAATAGATAGAG